TAGTTTGTACAATGCATTGATTTTTGAAAAATTTATAAAAATACCACATAATTCTTGTGCATTTACATATTTAACACCTAAAGTTTAAAATTTACAATTATAACACTTTGGATGTCAAAACACTAGTGCATGAAAATGCATACTTCACTTTTAAAATGATAGTCATTGTGGCATTTGTTTGTGTAATATTAAAGATTTGATTGATATGCATGCAAATATGAAAGCTTAGGTGTTAGATACATCAATATGTAAATGCTTTTTGATATTTTTTTTCTTAATACTCTAAGTATCTATTTCTTGGAAAAATCTATAACTAGTTATTATTGTACTACATTATCGCTTAAAAAGATTATGAAAGTCTTGAATAAATCTTTATTTTAGTATATTTACTTGTTTTTTAAAAAATAAAAGTGATATATTTATTTTTATAATTTGTGCGCTTATTTTTTCTTTTATTTTTGGTGCAATTAATTATTTTTTATTTTATTCTATTTTTAATTTTTACTCTAATATCACATGATTGCATGTGAACATTTTGGTTAGCACCAATGATGGAACTTAATTTTCAAATTGATGTTAATATTGGATTCAATATTTGTAATGTCAAAAAGCAATTTTGACTTTGATGTTATTGAAATCATTTGAGATGTATTGTAGTCGAGATAAAAATTACATTCATGCAATAAGCTTTAATTGGAAAAAAAATTATATGTTAGAAACAAATCAAGAGTTTAATGGTTTGAAGATTATGGTGATAATGATGAAGAGTGCATTGGCAAAATATTAATCCAATAATAAGTTTTTTTATTTATCTAAGTGTTGAATGCATTTTTTCTATACATAATGCTTGATTGAATCAAATTTATAGTAATAATAATAACTTATGAATTACAATTTTTTATGTATGTGTGATGCACATTTTTTTGCAACAAAACTAAGCTCTTTAAATATTTTAAAGAAGCATTTAAATTCTTCAAGACTTGATATAAATTCAGTATGTCATGAATAAATCTTTAAGTTTATAATAAAAATTTAATTCCCCATATTTAAAAAATTAAATGTATTGATCCAGAATTGTAAGTTTTTTAAATGAATCAGAGACTTATATCTTCTGAGAATTAAGTCTACTAAATTTTTTAAATAAGTAGAGAAGCTTATAATAAATATAATATATTTTTTTAATATGACAAACATTATTTACCTTATGTGGCTATTGACTTTTAAGGCTTTTAGATAACCTATTTCTCTTAAGGCTTTTACTTTTCAAGATTTTTGAAGAATAACTACGTTATGAGATTTTTTTTATCTGAGATTTTTAGATGTAGTGTTCCTTTCAATTCCTCTAATTTTTTAGGTTTATAACAAAATTATGCTCTTAAAATTCTAGTGAGTTAAGATTTTTAGAGAATAAAAACCATTTGATATATTTGTCTTCTAATATATATAAATAAGTGTAAACCATACCAATCACTTGTTCTCATAGATTTTTTTTTTAACAATGATCATATTTACTGCTAGCCTTTTAAAAATGTTTTCTTATAGGTGTGCCTTCTAGGAATTTTCTTATGAGCATTGTATGCCCTTATGAGGTCTTTTTAGATAAAACGTGAAATGTAATAATGTTTATAAAATATATTGAAAATGATGTGTCTCTTGTTTCCTTTAAGAGAGACTATAATTTGATTTTCTTAAAAAATCTTAAAGAGGTGAAGAGCTCAAATTTTGGGGTCTCTTCATTGATGACATTATAATGTTGTTTTTATTAGATATACATGATAGTTTGGGGAAGTTATTGAAATTTTTTTCTCTAATGATATCATAGAAGAGACCAGTAATAAAATGTTAATTGATATTTACTAAAGCTTATGGAAGATAATAAGTTGGTCAAGTAGTATAAGAAAGATTGCTTAAACTCACAAATTTAAATATATTGTAAAAAGCGGAGCATCTTTAGCATAATAATGTGAGGTTACTACATTAAGTAGCATTAAATTGATTGACCCGTATATTGTTGATTTATGAAAATAGAGATCTATTATTTTGTTCAACCTTCTTTAAAAGCTAAATAATTTGAGCAAAAACTTGATGCTACTCCATCTAATGCAAACAATCCTTTGAAAGTTAGGCCTAGTTGGCTTTCTTTATTTAGATTATGTTATCCTTAATCAAAGGATTATTTTCAATTAAAAAGAAGCATTTGTAGAATATTGAGAATATTTTTCATAAATAGAATCAAACTATTGCATGCTAGAAAATTCATGGTAATAGAGAGAGTTTTATGTAATGAATTTCCATAAAGATTCTGCACATACATATATGAAAAAAAAAAGATGGAAAATTTTATTTTCTTGTAAAAAATTTTTTAAAAAAGAAAACAACCTAGCTTGGTCAAATTGAAACAATCCATTATGCACATGAGATTATAAAAGTTTGTTATTCCCAACAATTGAAAAAGACATGATACTGAAATTATGACTGTCTGCTTGTTCTCTTATAACTGTGATAGGGATTATGAAAAAGCTAGTGAAGGATGATGCTCATGGCTAAGTAACGACAGTAGGGTGATGGAGAACATGCGATGGCTATCAAGAAATGAACATTGAACGATAGATATTAAGATCGTGGTTGGACAATGATAATCTAGAGATAAAAGTTGGTTGATGATTATTGGGAGATGGAGGTCGGGCGATGTCAATCGAGAGGCAAAAGTCAAGTGATGATGGTCATGTAATGACAACTAATCAAATATGATCATAAAATGAGAGTAAGGTAACAATGGTTGGATAGTGATAGTCAGACAATGATGGCCAAGTATTATAAGTCAAATATTATTGATGATTGAGCCATAATAGTTTGATAATAAAGGATAAATGATTGTGGTTGGGTGATGACAGTCAACTATTTTAAATACAAGGGTGGTGGTCGACATTGGCTCTAAAGCAGAATTTTGTAGTTTTTTAGATCTCTAAATTATCTTTATCATTCATGCAAAAAAGATGGGTCTTTATGAGAAATACTTTGACTATTTGGTCTAAAATCTCAAGCTACATAATTAGATGACTTGTGCTACTTTCTTTGATTATTTTCAATTCATTTAATGTTTAATGACTTCAATACCTCAAAATTCAGTAATCTTTGTTCTATTGGGTTACTTTTGTCAATAAAATCAATTAAAATTTAAGCATATATGATTCAAATATTGTTTGACCCTTCAATTAATGTCTCAAATCTCAATGCTTTTGATCAACACTTCAAGTATTTGATATTTGCTCATTTAAATTTGTATTGTACCACTTTCATTGTCTTTGATTTGCCTTATCAAGACATTTAGTTTGACTAATAATTTATTGAAATCAGATCTCAAGCATACTTGTAAATACTATTTACTCAAAAGAATAATTATGATACACAATTTATTATTCTAAATCTAACATAATGAACAAAACTGATATTGTAAACCAAGTAAATCAATACCTACATTCTTGCTTCTAACATTTTTTACTCTCATAAAAAAAATGATTTATTAAATGCTTTAGAGAACATTTAAATTTTATATATGTCATGAATACAAAAATCTAAATTCCCCCCCCCCC